CAGAATTTTACAGATTCATAGCTAATTAACTTTCTTAATTTTTTAATGTCTATGCTGCTGACAGAAATAACAGGTCTTCTATACATTGCTTACGATTGCCATATTGTTCAGTGATTGTTTTCATGTAATTGACATTGCTTTCATTAATAGAACTTATCTCCAGTGTATTTTTCATGTACTTCTCAATTACTGCATGTTGAAACCTTTTGAACATGTTACATGCAGTTTCTCAGTAATGTAACTCCTTTCATTATTTCTGAAACTACTCTGTGTGGGGAAAGCTATCCCAGATACATTGCATACACGAGGTTTCTCAGTGTATGTTCATGTCTATTATAACTAGCTTTTATCATGAATAGTTTCTCACATTGCTTACATAGGTCTTCACCTCTGAGCTTTTTAAAAAAATTTATGTATTTTGTACAGGGTCTTACTTGATCCTTGGAAGTGGTGATCCTCCTGTTTTCAGCCTCTCCAGCACTGGGATTACAGGTGTGTGACACTCCAGGACTCTGTCACCAGCTCAGCGTATCCAGAGGTGGAGCTAGCATGGCATGTGGTACCGGGGATTGAACCCCAATTCTTGCACCTTGCCTAAGCAGGTGCTTAGTCCACTAAGCTATCTTGCTCGCCCTGTTAGTTCTTTCATCTATTTAACAATGACTCCGTTGGCATTTCTCTCCAGTATGAATGCGTTCATGATTATAACAGTTACTTTGTTTCTGAAAGCCTTCCTATATTGCTTCAATACATGGAATTTCTCCCAGTGTTAGTCTTTTCATGTGTTTTCCTTTGTGCCAAAAGCTTTCCCATTTTACTTACATACATAGGTTTTTCTCCTTAATGTGAGTCCTTTTATGTGTTTTACACTGACTGTATGTGCCAAAATCATTCCCACATTGCTCACATACATAAGGTCTCTCCTTGGTGTGAGCTATTTCATGTGTTTTACAATTACTTTGTGCATTAAATGCTTTCCCACATTGCTTATATATATAGGGTTTGTCCCCAGTGTGAATTCTTTCATGCGATTTACAATTACTGTGTGTACTAAATACTTTCTTATGTTGCTTACAGATATAGGGTTTCTCCCCAGTGTGAATTTTTTCATGTGCCTTGCATTTTCTTTTTTTTTTTTTTTTTTTTTTTTTTTTTTTTTTTTAATTTATTTGTGTGTGTGTGTGTGGCCAGCTCAGCCCACCAGGGGGCGGGGCTGGCTGGCATGTGGTGCTGGGGGATTGAACAGCGGTCCCTGCGCTTTTGCTAAGCTTGTTCTAAGTAGGTGCTTTAGACCACTGAGCCATCTCACCAGCCCCCTTGCATTTACTTTGTGTGCAGAAAGGCTTTCCACATTGTTTACATGCATAAGGTTTCTCCTCAGCGTGAATTCTTTCATCTTTTTGACAATCACTATGTATACTGAAACCTTTCCCACATTCCTTACATATGTAAGTTTTTGTGTGAGTTCTTTCATGTATTTTACAATTACTGTGTGTATGAAATACTTTCCCACATTGCTTACATACCTAGGGTTTCTCTCCAGTGTGACTTCTTTCATGTGTTTTGCAGTCACTTCATGTGTGGACCTTCCACATTGTTTACATGCATAAGGTTTCTCTCTAGTGTGAATTCTTTCATGTTTTTGACATTCACTATGTGTCCTGAAAATTCTCCCACATTCCTTACATATGTAAAGTTCCTTTGTGTGAGTTCTTTCATGTCTTTTACAATTATAGTCTGTACTAAATACTTTCCCACATTGCTTACATACATAGGGTTTCTCCCCAGTGTGGATTCTTTCATGTCTTTTACAATTATTGTGTGTACTAAATAATTTCCCGCATTGCTTACACATATAGGGTTTTTCCCCAGTGTGACTTCTTTCATGTGTTTTGCAGTCACTTTGTGTTAGGAAAGGCTTTCCACATTGTTTACATGCATAAGGTTTCTCCCCAGTGTGAATTCTTTCATGTTTTTGACATTCACTATGTGTCCTGAAAGCTTTCTCACAATGCTTACATGCATAAGTTTTCTTCCCTGTGTGAATTCTTTCATGTTTTCGACAACTACGACGTGTCATAAAAGCTTTCCCACAATGCTTACATACATGAAGTTTCTCCCTTGTGTGAGTTCTTTCATGTTCTCGACAAAAATGTGAGATATAAGCTTTTCCACATTGATGACATATATAAAGTTTCTCTCCAGTGTGAATTACTTCATGTTTTTGACATTCACTATGTGTCCTGAAAACTCTCCCACATTCCTTACATACGTAAGGTTTCTTTGTGTGAATTCTTTCATGTCTTTTACAATTATGGTCTGTACTAAATACTTTCCCACATTGCTTACATACATAGGGTTTCTCCCCAGTGTGGATTCTTTCATGTCTTTTACAATTACTGTGTGAACTAAATACTTTCCCGCATTGCTTACACATATAGGGTTTCTCCCCAGTGTGACTTCTTTCATGTGTTTTGCAGTCACTTCGTCTGTGGAAAGGCTTTCCACATTGTTTACATGCATAAGGTTTCTCCCCAGTGTGAATTCTTTTGTGTTTTTGACATTCACTACGTGTCGTGAAAGCTTTCTCACATTGCTTACATACATAAGTTTTCTGCCCTGTGTGAATTCTTTCATGTTTTTGACAACTATGATGTGTCATAAAAGCTGTCCCACACTGCTTACATACATGAGGTTTCTCCCTTGTGTGAGTTCTTTCATGTTCTTGACAAAGACTATATGAGATATAAGCTTTTCCACATTGATGGCATATATAAGGTTTCTCCCCAGTATGAATTCTTTCATGTAATTTACAGTAACTGCGTGTAGCAAATGCTTTTCCACATTGCTTACATACATAAAGTTTCTCTCCAGTATGAGTTCTTTCATGTCTTTTGCAGTGACTCTGCGTGCCAAAAGATTTGCCACATTGCTTGCACACAAAAGTTTTTTCCCTAGTGTGAGTCCTCTCATGGATTTCATAATCAGTTTGTCTGCTGAAAGCTTTCTCACACTGCTTACATACACAGCGTTTCTCCCCAGTTTCTCCTCTTTCAAGTCTATAAGATGAAGAGTTATTACTTAAGGATTTTCCAATATCCTTGCACACATTGTGTTTTTCTCCAGCGTGAGCTCTTTTATGTATATGAACATCACAGTGAGAACTGAAAGCTTTTCCACATTGTGTACACATATATATATTTACTCCATTATATCTTCCTTCGATTTGAACACAGTTCAGTGTACTAAATACTTTCACATTTTGTGTATATTCAATGGACTTCTCTTCTATGTAAATTCCTTCAATCCAATCTGAGTAGGATTTTCTATATTCCTTATGTTCACAAGCTTTCTCTCCATGAGTTGTCTTAGCATGCTTCTGAAAGGACTGGAATTCAGGGCAGGTTTCCCCATGTTTGCTTACCTTTAATCCCAGATATTCACATGCTTTGAGTTCAGTGTTAGTTATGACAGGCACATTTGATGAGTGACCAATGAGATTTCTACAGGCAAGATTTTCACCTGGTTTTGTACTGACTGCTTTCATGTACACGTTACCATCTGGAGACCAAAAATCCATTTCTTCATATTGATACAATAATTCAAGTTGATGCCATTTCTCCACCTCTTCACTTCTGCAATAGAAAAGAAATAATAAAACTACCAGAATCAGAAGTATCTTTATTTTAATGATTAGGAGATCTGATATGCTGAGCCCTGACAATATCTGATCATGATTTTACTGTACAACTTTGCATGATGGCTTGGAAGCCACTTTTACCAAAATAGTACTATTTACTTATTTATAATTAACTTATTGTAGGTACCACATGCTGGAAGGTTAAACAGAGAATTAGTACAGTGTACCAATTTTTATTTAATTTTATTTAAAACAGGGTCTCATTAATCATTAAATTGCCTGGGCTGACCATGAATGTATGATCTTACTGGCTCAGAGCCCCAAAGTCCTATACCGCATCATCATACCAAGACTATCCTGTATTTCCTTAATGTACACAGCTGTGAATAGGCTTCTAGGTTTTTTTCCAGATCATACAACATTTTCTACATACTAGAAACAAGGATATGTTTTGTGTTTAGTTATCCCCCAAAGCCTCATTTAGGTGTTTTTTTTGTTTTTTTTCCTGAGGCATCTGAACTGGAGTGTGACCAATTTGTAGTACAATGCCAGGAATAAGGTGGAGGATGCTGTGTACTGACTGGATTGGCAACGACCTAATCACAGTAGACTGAATATTATATATAGGACACAAAGAGCTCTGTCTGTCTGTTTCTCAGCCTGTTCCCCTCCCCGGTCCCTTGATTTTGCTATAGTCTGCCACCATGAACTCCTTTGGTATGCCCTCTGGGATGCCCCTCTGCCAACCCATCCAGCATTGGACCCAGACAATTATGGACTGAAAACTCTTCAATGTTTGAGTTAGCAGTTAATCTCTCAATCTCAATCTCTCTCTCTCTCTCTCTCTCTCTCTCTCTCTCTCTCTCTCTCTCTCTCTCTGGGTATCAGGTATTTTATGAGCATCAAGAAAATTAACCAAGAAGCAGAATTTCGTAGCAAAGAAGGGGGTCATTGCTGTGACTATACATCACATGGCTCATAAGGCTCTGGGAATGGCTTCAGCAAAGAGTTTGCAATAGTTTGGAGACAACAAGCTAAAAAAAGTAGAGCTAGAACACCTTCAACAGTTCTGTACAGGAGATTCTGATCAGACCTCAGAAGACCAAAAGCCTGATAAAAACCCTGTTGTAAAAGTCCAGGCTCAAGAGGCTTTTCTTGGGAAGAAAGCCTACATTGATTGTTGGACTCCTAAAATGTGTGTTATGACACAGTAGAAAGCTTGTCTTCATTTTGCTCATGTCTGAAGATTTTGCCTGAGATAAAGATTAAGTTGGGAGGGCTGGTGAGATGGCTCAGTGGTCTAAAGCACCTACTTAGAACAAGCTTAGCAAAAGCACAGGGACCATGGTTCAATCCCCCAGCACCACATGACAGCCAGCCCCGCCCCCAGGTGGGCTGAGCTGGCCACACACACACACACACACACACACACAAATAAATTTAAAAAAAAAAAAAAAAAAAAGATTAAGTGGGGAAAACTGCTGTGAAAAGAAAACTGCAGAGCACTATGTTCCAGAATGGCAGTGACCCTGAGAAACTGTTCTTCAGAATTAGATTCAGAGTACTCAGGAATCCAGGTGGTCAGCCCCTAATCACAAGGGAAGCCTGGCACCTTGGCATCATCCATCATCCATGTGGTGCGTATTTTAGGTGCATATGGAATGGAACAATTATGGACTCAGGAAGGCTTCCACCCAGATTTCAGAAGCCAACAGAGGACAGACATGTCCCAAAGAGGGCAGTGTGTGAAGCTGTGAGAGTGAAGCTGAAGGTGCAGTGAAGACCCCGTAAGTTTGGAGAAGCAAGGAACATGGGTCATCTGAGGAAAATAGCAATGAGGAAGCAGACTGGACCCAAAAGAGAAGGCCTGGAAGTTATAATCACCAGAAGTGCAATAGGGGCAGAGCCACTCAAGACCTTTGGAGTTCACTTCTTATCACATATTACCGTAAATGTTGCACATAGAACTTAATGTTTGCCTTGCTGGATTCTGGACTAGCTTTGTCCCATTCCTTTCTATCCCCTCAGGTGTAATTTTTGGAATGGAAATGACTATGTTGGTCCATGGAATATTGAAGGTATAACTTTTTTTGTGTTTGTACAGATGCTCACAGCCAATAGTTTGCCTTAAATCTAGGAGGAACTTGGGACTTGAGACTCCTCAGCAATCCTGAAAATGTTCAGAATTTGGAAACTCTTGGAGATGAACTAAATTACATTCGCATAAAGAGATGCCCATGAGTCTTGGGGAGCCAGGTGAAGAATGTTATGCTTTATATCTACATGTCCCACCAAAGCCTCATGTGGTCAGACGGTTTTTCAGGGTGGATGAATCTAGAGTACATAACTCATTCATAGTGCAAGGCTGGGATTAAGGGTACTAAGAATAAGGGTCAGTGATTGCTGGACCAGTCCACTAACTAGAATTACTACCCTAATCCAGGTAGACTGGCTATTATATAGGTCACAGAAAGAGCCCCCCCAACCTCTTTCTTTCATTGCTTTTGCTGTCTTCTGCCACTGTGAACTGTGTTTTCCCTGCGATACCCCTCTGCAAAGCCACCCTAAGTTAAACCCAGCCAATTATGAAATGAAACCACTACAAACTGTGAGCTAAATAAATTTTCCTTTAAATTTCAGTGTCATGTGTTTTGTATCAGCAATGATAAAAGTATTGAAGACATATGGGTACCAATGCACCAAAGTAACCTGTTTCTTTTGCTATTGGGTAGAATTTAACCAAGAGTATAAGGTAATAAAATAAATATTTTTTCACATTTTAAAAACTCTTCATGCATTTCCACAACTGTTATACTACAATTATATCAACATCAATAATATAGGAAAGTGCATTCTAGAATTTTGAAACTTCATTGGACTTAATACTATGGAGGCCAGTTAAGAATAGCCACTGTCGGGGGCCTGCCCGGTAGCTCAGTTCTTTGGGGGCCTGGCCCTAGCTCAGGCCTTTAAGTGGCTGCTTCCACAAAGCTGTCAGCCTCAGGGTGCTGGAGTTCGAACCTCACACCTC